TTACCAAAGGTCATATTGGTAGTAAACTGTATAGCTGATATTCAAACTGAGGACTGTTTCATTAAATGCTGAATAAACAAGCTTTCTGGAAAATATTAAAATTTGGGGACCATTCTCATAGAGGGGGCAATGGAGCATAAACTAGGATGCACCACTGAAGCTATGGCAAATATGTGGTCCTTCTCTAGGGTCAAGGTGTAGAAACTTAAAACCTGAATTCTAAAGGGAAAGTAAATCTATACATCACATTTCAATTCCACCTCTCATTCTCATTCATTATATCCCCCACCCCACACACAAATACACATGTCTGTTGATAATCTTTGCTCAAAGTATTTTTGCTAAGATTTTTCAGAAATGGAACTTGGACAAAGAGGGAAGAAAATATTGCCTACTAACTCTCTTACCAAGTAATATCTACCTCTTGAGAAGTGAGATATGATTGTAATTTATGAAAATAAGGAGGTAGTGATAAATACACATTAGGGTACAGAGAAGGAACTCTCAAGGATGGAATGCAAGTTACACAGAATGAGAGAAACTAAATTTTATATTTGCATATTTTTCTTTATTCTTCTACATCAGAAGAGGAATGGGGATAATAGAGGAAATATGTAAATAATATTCAGTAGCCCATGGAGGAAAGGAAAAACTCATGGAGGTACTCTAACAGAGGTTGTTTTCATATGTGTCTAAGGGGTATTCTAAGTCCCACTTTATATATGAGAGCATATAAATAACATACTCAAGTCACACAATGCTAATATATGAGCTAGAAAAGAAGGTATCATGAACCCATGCTCTTACCACTGCAAGTGCAATATTCATTTCTACCTCACTGGCTCCTAATGTCAAGAGCACTGATTGGCTATGCTGTGTGGCTGTTGCATTCACAGTGTTGGGATTACAAGAGGGAGCCACCGCACCCAGTCTTTTCAAGTTATTTCATTGTCTGATCTAATTATAATAGATAGTACTCTGAAACTAGACTTCTAAATGCCAAAGAAGTCAATGAAACTTTTAAGCGTTTTCAGCAAGTTACTCAGCTCAGAAGTACAAAACTTGTTGGGCATGGTGGATCATGCCTATAATCCCAATACGTTGGGAGGCCAAGGTGGGTAGGATCACTTGAGTCCAGGAGTTCAAGACCAGTCTGGGCAACATGGTGAAATCTCGTCTCTACTAAAAATACAAAAATTAGTCAGGCATGATGGTGCATGCCTGTAGTCCCAGCTACTTGGGAGGCTGAGGCAGGAAGATCATTTGAGCCCTAGATGCAGAGGTTACAGCGAGCTGAGATTGTGTCATTGCACTCCAGCCTGGGTGACAGAGCAAGACTCTATCTCAAAAAAATAAAAAAGTAAATAGAATTTTAAAAAGAAGTGCAAATGCAAAGGTTGAGGCAGTCTGGGAATTTGGCACAACCACATTCCTAGCCCTGAGAGACAAGCCCACTCTTTTCTCTTCCCTAAATTGGTTTTCCTCCCCATGTCCTCCTAATTATTGGTATTTGTAATGGTATTCAGATCTCTATGCTGAATAAAAGATACATGTTCTAGGCAGCTAGACCTCTTTGCATATACATCTAATATAGTCTGTATCCTTTATAAGTTATTTTAAAACTATCAACTCTAATCCTTTCTAGAACAAAGTTAGACCTATGTAATTGAAATTAGGTTTCTCTTATTTGTCTCTATAAGCCTGGTCCCAAGCATAGTACTTGACGTTTATGCGTAATATTGTAAGGAGGATTATTTATTTAAATCCAATAGGGCAGGGCGGGGCCCTTATACGGAGAAATATATACCCTCCCCCCGCCCACAAAGAATTATCCATCACTCAACGGTGGAGACAGATTTTGAGAAATGTGTTGTTAAGGCAATTTCATCATGTGAGCATCAGAGTACATGCACACAAACCTAAACAGTATAGTGTACTACTTCTATACTACAAAATTGTACAGCATGTTACTATGCTAAATACCATAGGGAACTGTAACACAGTGGTATTTGTGTAAACATTATCTAAACATAGGGTAAAAATATGAAAGATAAAAACATAATATAAACCATAAAATAAAAATGCCACATAAAAGATAAAAAACAGTACACCTACATAAAGAGCACTTACCATAAATGAAGCTTACAGAACTGGAAGTTGATCTGAGTAAGTCAGTGAGTAAGTGGTGAGTGAATATGAAGAAATAGGACATTACTGTACACTACTGTAGACTTTATAAACATTGTACACTTAGCACTAAATTTATTTAAACTTGTTTTCTTTCTTCAATGATGAATTATCCCAGCTTTTTTGTAATATTTTTACTAAACCTCAAGGGCTTTTTTCTTTTGGAGACGGAGTCTTGCTCTGTCGCCCAGGCTGGAGTGCAGTGTCACTATCTCAGCTCACCGCAAGCTCCACCTCCTGAGTTAACGCGATTCTCCTGCCTCAGCCTCCAGAGTAGCTGGGACTACAGGCACCCGCTACCATGCCCGGCTAATTTTTTTTTTTTTTTTTGTATTTTTAGTAGAGACAGGGTCTCACCGTGTTAGCCAAGATGGTCTCGATCTCCTGACCTCATGATCCGCCAACCTTGGCCTCCCAAAGTGCTGGGATTACAGGTGTGAGTCACTGCGCCTGGCCGGGCTTTTTTTTAACTTTAAAAAACTTTTTGGAGACAGGATCTTGTTCTGTCACCCAGGCTGGAATGCAGCGATGTATTCCATTTAAGCTCACTGTAGGCTTAAACTCCTGGGCTCAAGTGACCCTCCCGTCTCGGCCTCTGGAGTAGTCAGGACTATAGGTGTGCACCACCACATGCAGCTATTTTTCTTTAATGTTTTGTAGAGGCTGGGGTCTTGATATATTGCCCAGGTTGGTCTCAAACTCCTGGCTTCAAGTGATCCTCCTGCCTAGGCCTCCCAAAGTGCTGGGATTACAGGTGTGAGCCAATGTATTGGTCTTTTTTTTCTTTTTCAGCTTTTTGACTCTTTTGTAGTAACACTTAGCTTAAAACACACATTGTACAGCTGTACATAAAATGTTTTCTTTCCTTATATCCTTATCCTACTAGCTTCTATTAAAAATTCTTTTGGCTGCATGTGGTGGCTGACACCTGTAATCCCAATACTTTGTGGGCCTGAGGCAGGTAGGTCTCTTGAGCTCAGGAGTTCCAGACTAGCCTGGACAACACGGAGAAACCTGTCTCTAAAAAAAATAAAAAATTAGCTGGGCATGGTGGCATATGCCTATAGTCCCAGCTACTCAGAAGACTGAAGTGGGAGGATCACATGAACCCAGGAGGCTGAGGATGCAGTGGGCCTTATTACATCACTGCACTCCAGTCTGGGTGACAGAGCAAAACCCTGTTTAAAAAAAAAAAAAAAAAAAAAAGTTTTAAAACTTTTTTTGGTGCAAAACTAAGATACAACCACACACAGTAGCCTAGGCCTACACAAGGTCAGGATCACCAAGATGTCACTAGGTAATAGGAATCCTTCAGTTCTGTTATAATCTTTTTTTTGTTTGTTTGTTTTTTAAACTTTAAGTTACGGGATACATGTGCAGAATGTGCAGGTTTGTTACATAGGTATACATGTGCCATAGTGGTTTGCTACACCCATCAATCCGAGCTCTGTTATAATCTTATGGGACTCCCAAAATATATGTGGTCTTATCTTTGGCCAAAACGTTGCTATGCAGTATATGATTTTAGATACATCAAGAATCTTTTGCCTGGGTGTGTGGCTCATGCCTGTAATCCCAGCACTTTGGGAGGCTGAGGTGGGTGGATCACCTGAGGTCAGGAGTTCAAGATCAGCCTGGCCAACATGGTGAAAACCCGTCTCTACTAATAATACAAAAATTAGCCAGATGTGATGGCACATGCCTGTAATCTCAGCTACTCGGAAGGCTGAGGCACGAGAATTGTCTGAACCCAGGAGGTGGAGGTTGCAGTGAGGTGAGAAGATCACTTGAAGGAGTTTGAGACCACCCTGGGCAACATATATTTTTTCCTTTTCTTGAGACAGTCTTATTCTGTCACCCAGGCTGGTGTGCAATGGCATGATCTCAGCTCACTGCAACCTCCACCTCCCGAGTTCAAGCGATTCTCCTGTCTCAGCCTCATGAGTAGCTCAGATTACAGGCATGTACCACCACAACTGGCAAATTTCTATATTTTTAGTAGAGATAGGGTTTCACCATGTTATCCAGGCTGGTCTCGAACTCCCAACCTCAGGTGATCCACCCACCTCAGCCTCCCAAAGTGCTGGGATTACAGGTGTGAGCCAACGTGCATGGCCTACAAAAAATTTAGAAACTTAGCAGTGTGTGGATGCGTGTGCCAATAGTTCTAGCTATTCAGAAGGCTGGGGTACAGGATCACATGAGCACAGGAGTTTAAGGCTGCAGTGAACTATGACTGTGCCACTGTACTCCAGCCTGGGTGACAAAGCAAGACTATCTTAGGGGGGAAAAAAAAGGCTGAATAGATGAATGGATAAATTTTCCCTCCTGATAGCTTTAAGAATATTGGTTTTATATGAAATGAGTTCAAGAATAGAATGAAGACAAAAGTCTAGATAGAAATTTACTTTATCTATAAATGAAATCAGATATATGACAATGTTACTACTACTAATTTATTGACGATTATTTCCATTCTAATACATGAAAGAAGAAAATGCACATGCATGCAAGTATTCAGAAAATACTTATCAACTACTCAATGAATGTCTACTAAATACAAAATACGTTATCTTGTAAAATTCCTAAGACCAATCTCCCTGGCTTATAGTTCTTTAGTTATTTTCCTGGAATGTGGCTGAAGAGTGAATGGTAAATACAGAATTAACTTGACAACAGATATACTTCAAAGTAATTCAGAGCTCACGATATTCTTAAATTTATACAAATCACTGTATGTAAAACAGGCTTTAATGACATACATATTTCTGAAAGTAAAGCTAGAGAAAAAGCGTAAAGTATGATTTACTAACCACACAAATATCTGCTTGTTTGCAAGAACAAGTTGGGCTAATTAATAACTCCAATTGAGACCGAAGTTTCTCATCATCGCCGAGAACCTGGTTAAATTTCTTCACAAAATCTTGTGCTTTCCCGGGGTCGGGCAAATTCTCTATAAAATTAAAGAGAATCAATATTAAAGAAGGAAAAAAAAAAAAAACTATTCTACTAAGCTAAAGAACAGGTGCCATAAAAATATTGTGGGGCCACTAAAAGAAAATCAGCCTAACTAGTTCTTAGAAATAAAATTAAGATAAAGATTTTTTTTTTTTACTTTACATTAAATCAATAGTCCCACTGGGTAAATAATTTGTTTGTCTGTATTGACATTTATTACACGTTTAGTGAGTAAATAAACATACTCACTTGCTATGGTCATCAGTTTCCCAAACATGGCAGAACAGTTAGCTTCTGACTGAAATTTAAAACAGAAACAAAAGAACAACTAGTCATATGTGTTAAGAAATTTCTGTAACAAAAATCAATACTCATTACTGTACATTTTTCATGAAGTTAAAAAAAAAAGTTCATCACAGTCTGCTCAATGTAAAATGGTTTTACCACATATATACACTAAATTAACAACAAAGAATTACATAGTAGCAACTATTAAGACAAATAGAAGGAAAGGAGATGTTAGGAGGAAGGTACCAAAAAAAACACAAGTATACAACTTTCACATGAAAGTTACATTGCCAGAAGATTGGAAAAAGATCAATGAAGCAATCAACATATAAAATTATCATATCAGAATTACTATGAAACTACATGCCACAAAAAATTAAAAATATAAAGAGGAGAAACTCTTTTTTCTGGAATAGAGTTCTGTTAGCTACTTTGTGGCCCATTACTTAAATAACTTCAGGAAAACCTCCTTTCTAAAATGTACTTCCCTTTCCTCTATCCCATAAAGCATTACTTTATATTTCAAAGTTTGCCAGGCTAGGTGCAGTGTTTCACACCTGTAATCCTAGCAATTTGGGAGTCCTAGGCAAGTGGACTGCATGAGCCCAGGATTTTGAGACCAACCTGGGCAACATGGTGAAAACTCACTTCTACAAAAAACATACAAAACCTATCTGGGTATGGTGAAGCACACCTGTAGTCCCAGCTACTCAGAAGGCTGAGGTGGGAGGATCAGCCCAGTGACATGGAGGCTGCAGTGAGCTGTGACTATGCCACTATGTGACAGCCTGGGCAACGGACTAAGATCCTGTGTATTTAAGAGAAAAAAAAAAAAAGTTTCCCGCCCCTGTTCCAGCATCCATGTGTCCTTGAGGGGTCTGTATATATGGTCCCCTGGTTAAGAACACCTATTCTAGTAAATACACTTAAAAATGTAAAGTTTTTTTCCCCACCTTGCAAAAATTTAACGGTATTATTTCTTTTAGTTTGCCACTGGCATATTTATAGGATTGATATCTGAATATTCACTCTACACTGAGAGACCATGAATCAGGCAGTGAAAAAGAAATACGATGTCCAATGTAATTTTATCTTGAAATTTAATTATTTGAAAACTGATTAACTATATATAAACTCTTAGTGTCTGAAAACTTTATATAAACTAGAAACCACCATTTCTTTGCTTACACTGGAAAATAAGAGTTTGTTATATTCATTTTAAATGGAAATTTAGCCTGGACAACTACAGAAATTATATTTAACTGACATTTGGAAAATAAAACACCTGAGATACTTTTTCCTTGCTTCATTATGTAGAACTACAGAAAATCTGAACAGTGATATAATAAACTATGAATTTAAACAAATCATGAACCTACTGTAGGCTGCTTGTGCAAATCCAATAGTTCGCGTACATGACTCCGAAGCATGTTCTGACACTTCCACATTTCGTTGAGAGCTCTGTCAAGTTATGAATATGAAAAAATGCATTACATAACAATACTGGAAATTATTCAGCATTACAACCTTTCTTGTTGCATGCTGTATATACACCACTCTTCCACATCTAACTAAAAGTTTAAACACCGGGAAATATATTTATTAGGATTTAAAACAATTTAGTACAAATGGTAAATATAAGCCTTCTTATGAGAGAAAATATTTGACGGGTTTAGAAAGATTAATAGGTAATAAAGAGATTGAAAGATGTACTAAATACAGGTAGCTAGAAAGTTCTGGTACAAGGAAAGAAAATGTCAAAGTGTAAGGGACATACAACAAACTGAAAACCATGTATATGCTTGGAGCACAGGGCATGTGTGTGGAGCATAAGGAAGCTGGAGCATTCCATAGACACAGATCAAATCATGAAGGCCTTATTATACAAGCTAAGGTGTATACATGAAGCACTACAGACTATTTTGAAAAATGAAATATCAAAAATGATGCAGATTCAATATGCCAAATTTGCATTATTGTGTTCATTCTAAACTTTTTCTCTCCAGGAACACAGATTTTCTTCTCTCAGAAATACCATCCGTATTTCCAGGTGCCCAGGTGACAGAGCTCTGAGAAATCACTAATCTCTAAGCACTCTTTGTCAGATATTTTGAAATGTAAACAAACATCGAAACCTTGAGCAAGGAAAGGCATTAGTAACCACGATACAACACTATCTTAATAGAACTTCTGCCAAAATGACAGTCTTTTTTATTTTTATTTTTGAGACAAGTCTCACTCTGTCGCCTAGGCTGGAGTACAATGGGATGATCTCGGCTCACTGCAACATCTGCCTCCTGGGTTCAAGCAATTCTGCTGCCTCAGCCTCCCTAGTAGCTGGGATTACAGGTGTGTACCACCACGCCAGCTAACTTTTTTGTATTTTTAGTAGAGATGGGGTTTCACCATGTTGGCCAGGCTGGTCTCGAACTCCTGACCTCAAATGATCTGCCTGCCTCAGCCTCCCAAAGTGCTGGGATTACAGGGGTTAGCCAACACGCCTGGCCTAAAAATGCAGTCTTAATCTAATAATGCAGGAACACCTGAAGAAGCCACAAGGGCAAACAGTCAAATTCCTAACTCAGAATTCTCTCTTTTTTAAGACAGAGTCTCACTACATTGCCCAGGACAGTCAAACTTCTAGGCTGAAAAGACCCTTCCATCTTGAGATCAGAATTCTTAATGACATCACTCATTTACTTTGTGTATTTTTGACAAAAATTACATATAATATGATGTACAAGAATAATATATGTATATATTGAAGTGAAATGACCACACATCCTGGTTGGCCTGGGACAGTTTGATTATGCTGGTTATCTGAGCAAAAATACCAATAGTGATCCCTTTCACTCTGAAAATAATCCAGCTGGACCATCAATCATATGGCCATCCTACATAGAGAAGATCTGAATATGTTCACCCAACAAAGAATCAGTATTCAGTTATTAGGCTTAATATTTAGTCTGGAAGGATAAAGCACCAGCAGTTTCAGACACTAGCCACAGGTATTTTGACATGGTCATTTATTTGAACACCTGAAACCATCCTACTACTGACCCAGCTGCCAAACACGCCTTCACATATACAAATAAGAATACTTTTGGTGTTAACTGACCTGAACATAAATCATAATATTTTGTTGATAAATATTTACCTGAGGTTCTTGATTCAACTATAGAAGCAGCAACAACCCAATCAGTAACAATTAATTAGATAAGATGAAGTGGTTTTATGAAATCCTTAGGAAATACAGCAGTTATTTGAAAAGTAACTTACTTTACAGCATTTGGATCCAAACTAGCATATAAGTAATATAAGCATTTCATTCTCTCTTCTGTTTCCAGGTTGTGGGGGACAAGATACTGAGCAAAGATTTTCTCTACCAACAGTCTAGGAAATAACAACAACAAAAACCTAAGTGACACAATTATTCTATTTTTAAGAAGCAATTTTTTTTTTTTTTTTGAGACAGGGTTCTTGCCGTGTCACCCAGGCTGGAGTACAGTGGTGCGACCTCGGCTCACTGCAACCTCTGCCTCGCAGGTTCAAGCAATTCTCCCACCTCAGCCTCTCCAGTAGCTAGGACTACAGGCGTGTGCCACCATGCCCGGCTAATTTTTACATTTTTTGTAGAGACAAGGTGTCCCTATGTTGCTAAGGCTAATCTGGAACTTCTGAGCTCAGGCAATCCACCTGCCTTAGCATCCCAAAGTGCTGGGATTACGGGCATGAGGCACCGCACCCAGCCAACATTTTAAGTTTTAACCATCTTGTGCCAAGATACCGTATCAAGATAATAGCTCTGTGTGCACATACAATGAAAGGTATCAGTTTATAATGACTTCCTTCCTTAGAAACCATTCAGTACAGTTTAACTTCAGAGACATGGCTACTATCCGTGGCTTTATAATTTGTCAGTACGAAACATTTGTTCTAGAAGGTTTAAATGTTATTCCTAAATACAGGGTGCTAGGCTGTTCCACCTACTCTTCAGCAGTCTAGAACAACAGCAAATTCATTAATGTAACATACAAAGCTATGATCCACAGTAGAGCTAATTCTCAAGAAACTCCTTAATTTCCTCTGATTACAGTTCAGCCCATTTCCCATGTTGTCACATAGTTAAAAACAGGGTCCCCCCTGCTTCATATTACTTCCAGAAAATGTAGTTTTTCCTGTGTATATCTGATCATTCTTCTCTCCATAATCTAAATTCCTTACCAATACTGGAATATCCTTCTTGCTAGTGCATATTGCTTGTATCTTCTTGCTTTTATTGTTTAACATCACTGGATTAAAAATATACAAGGTCTCTTAATTAACAAATGAAATATATATCCAGTGATGCCAAAGAAGTTAGCTTAATTAAACAAAACAAAAGAAACTATGCTGCACAAACCAAGTATCATCTGTATGATCCAATACAGAATTACAAGTAATATTCAGAAAATGAAAACAACTTAGTAATTCCTCTATTGGTAGTGGTGTAAAAAGGAAAGTAACTAGTAGTTAATTGAATAGTACTCTCTTGCCACACATTGGGCTAGGATGTTTTACATTCTTTATTTTATTTAATCTACATGATAATCCTATAGGAAAGGCATTATTTTTTTTCCTTTTTATATAAAATTGAAGTGCACAAGAAGTTAATGAACCTCTGTAAGAATACACATCTAATAAAGGGCAGAGTGAACATTTGGTCTCTAACTCCAAAGTCCATGCCTATTTCACTATTAAAAGGCTACCTTATAATCACGGAGAGAGTCTTGTTTAAACACAGTATATAAAAATATGTAAAAAGTTATCTCTAAACTTAGAAATAAATGACTAATCAAGTTGAATGAACATAATTTTATTTATGAAGTAAATACATAAAAATAAGAAATTACTAAAATATTAGGTATTTTTAAAGTAAAAAGTAGTTTTATACTCATTCTACCAACATATTAAACTCACTTGTCATCAATGCTGTTCTGATAATAAATATGCAAAAGTTTGTCCTTTATCCAGCTGACTTTCTCTGCAGCTTCCTTTCCTGCTTCACCATGAAGACAGTATTTCTTATAAAGCTGAGCCAGACCCATCATAGCTTCTTTTCTTACTCGCCACTAAAAAGCATAAAATTTATTAGATGAGAAAGATAACAAAACTCTGTACTAATTTCCAAAGATTGCCTTGGGTTCACTAGGCTGTACAATCTTATGTGTGCCTTTATAAACTGGCACATTATTTCTCTTCATAAAAGGCTTTACAAACAATTTTGAATCTGTTCCTATTTAGAAATTTTCCAATGCAAATATTGCTAATGATCTACTTTTTTCTTTTTAAAGAAATGGGGTTTCGTTACGTTGCCTAGGTTTGTCTCAAATTCCTGGGCTAAATAATCCTCCTGCCTTAGCATCCCGAGTAGCTAGAACTACAGGCTAGTGATTTTTTATTTCCCTTGAAAACCAGTAATAATCTTACGGGAGATTTCATTTGATTCTATTGAAAGAAAATTCACCAAGTTTTAGAGGTGATTATAATTTTCCTTGCAAACAAAACCCCTATTATCTGGAATGTTTTAATTGCCAGTTACATCCCTTTAGATGTTAACTTCGGATAAGAACAAAGTTCACTATCAAGAATTCTGGGCCAGGCACGGTGGCTCACGCCTGTAATCCCAGCACTGTGGAAGGCCAAGGCAGGTGGATCGCTTGAGCTCAGGACTTGGGGAACTGACTACCCAGTGAATCTAAAATCCTAGTAAATCTAAAATTGTAGTGAATCTAGGAGTTGAGTTGGCTGACTACCCAGTCACTCTAAAAATACACTCACAAGCTGACAAAACCTGCCCACTCACACAGAGCTTCCAATCAGCTGTGCAGGGATTCAGTTAAAAATCTGACCAAGGGTGGGCATGGTGGCTCACATCTGTAATCCTAGCACTTTGGGAGGCTGAGGCGGGCGGATCACCTGAGGTCAGGAGTTCACGACCAGCCTGGTCAACATGGTGAAACCCAGTCTCTCCTAAAAACACTAAAATTAGCTGGGCATGGTGGCACACACCTGTAATTCCAGCTACTTGGGAGGCTGAGGCAGGAAAATCACTTCAGCCTGAGAGGAAGAGGTTGCAGTGAGCCAATATTACACCACTGCACTCAAGCGTGGGCGACACAGTGAGACTCTGTCTCAACAAAAAAACAAAAAACAAAAAACTGACCTAATATTCAAGGATCATCAGACCTTTGAGGAACGCTTTCAACAGTAAACGAGAGGGACTAAAATAAACAGGCCAGAAGAGGAAAACAGGACTCAGCAGAAACAGAGATAATACAGGCAGTAGAAGACACTTTCAAATATTCTCAGGGAGATAAGATTTTACACCATAAAATAAGACTCAATTCCTCTGAGGAAGAAAGGAAGGAAGGTAGGGAGAGAGGCAGGGAGAAAAGGAGGGAAGAAAGCAAGGAAGAAGAAAAGGAAGGAAAGGAGGGAAGAAAAAAAGGAAAAGAGGCAGGGAGAAAGGAAGTTAGAAAAATTAATTCAACCTGAGGAAAATGATTTAAAAAATAAAAAGAAAAGAAAAAAAAAGGAGAAATTAGATAATGAGAGGTGCTTTTGGAAATTAAAAATGGAGATGAAGTAAAACAACAAAGATAAGAAAAACTATCAGTCCAAGAATTTCAACATCAAATTAAAGAGTTCTCAAAAGAGAGAACAGGCTAACGCCTGTAATCCCAACACTTTGGGAGGTGGAGGTAGAAACAGGTACAGATCCCTTGAGCCCAGAAGTTCGAGACCAGCTTGGGCAACATGGTGAAACTCCGTCTCCACAAAAAATACAAAAATTAGCCAAGAGTAGTGGTGCACAACTGTAGTGCCAGCTCCTTGGGAGACTGAGGTGGGAGGATCACTTGAGCCTGGGAAGAGGAGGGTGCAGTGAGCTGAGATTACACTACTGCACTCAAGCCAGGGCAACAAAGTGAGACCCTGTCTCAAAAAAAAAAAAAAAAAAAAAAAAAGGACCTTAGCGTTCACCGTAAGTGAATGCCCTTACCTTGCAAGCCTAAAAGGCAAACGATTTAGCTAGTTAGCAGAAGACTCTTTGGGACTTTTAGAGGTTGGGAAGGTTTAATAGGGTAGGAAAGAAAGGCTGTGAAAGAAGAGACAGGAAAGGAGACCATAAAAACTCAGAATGAGGATCATCACAAGCTGTAAGAAAAATAGTAGTAAAAAAATGTATCTGTGTATTAAAAGAAGAAGAGTAGGAGGAAGAGTAGGAGGAGGAAAAGGAGGAGGATGAGGAAGATGAGGAAGAGGAAGAAGAGGAGGAGGAGGAAAAGGAAGAGGAAGCAGAAGCAGCAGCAGAAGCAGCTAAGTGTGGTGGTGGGTGTCTGCAGTACCAGCTATTCAGGAGAATGAAGCAAGAGGATCACTTGAATCCAAGAGTTCAAGTTCAGCCTGGGTAACATAGCAACACGTCACCTCTAAAAAAGAGAGGTGGGTGGGAGTATGTTATCTTTGGTGTATTTAAGTCAATACTTTCTTATAAATGTTTTGTATCATTTTCTCATTTTTTAGGCCACTTATTAGATGGAATAAAATTTTGTCCCTATATAACAGATTAGCAAAAGCATTTTGACATTTCTTACATGAAATGAAAAAAAAAACACGAGCAATAAAATCTTAAGATGAAATCCTGTTCCCAAATTTCTAGAGACAAAATAATTTTTTTTTTTTCCAGAAAGGCTATAAAGGTCATCTAACTTATTAAACCAAAATCTGGGTCAGAAAATATCCAGTAGGTGTTACTGTTACCACATCGTACAGTTTCAGTTAGGAAGATTCATTTATTCAACTTTCTGAAACTATGAAAAAACTGTAATAGTAGTGAAACTTTTTTAAAAGGGGGAAGGGAGGAATGTCAAATAACCACTAGGGGGAGAGTAATTTCATTTAAATTAAAGCCAAGGGAAAAAAAATCTTCAAAGTTAGAATTACTAACACTGTTGAACAAGTTAAAAAGTATCCACCTTTTTTTAAACATCTGGCTCCTATGACAATTTTAAAAGTAAAAACTTAAATAATACCTCTTTCTATATTTTAAAACCAAAACCAATTATTTTTCTACCCTGAAACTATAATAGTCATTTGCAGAGGAAAGTAATTTTTAACTACACCTCAAATAAAATAATAGTATGTTGCAAGGCAATCATGAAACATGTTAGAAATGTTAGGCCTAATCAGCCTGCCTTACAGGTATGTCTCTTGTTTACACATGACCCTATTCGTTAGTTGTATTCTTAGCACTACTTATCCTTTTCCTTATCAATCCATGTTTTCTTTTTTTTTTTTGAGATGGAGACTCGTTCTGTTGCACAGGCTGGAGTGCAGTGCCTCAATCTCGGCTCACCGCAAGCTCCGCCTCCCGGGTTCACACCATTCTCCTGCCTCATTCTCCTGCCTCAGCTGGGACTACAGGCGCCCGCCACCACGCCTGGCTAATTTTTTGTATTTTTAGTAGAGACGGGATTTCACCGTGTTAGCCAGGATGGTCTCGATCTCCTGACCTCATGATCCACCCGCTTTGGCCTCCCAAAGTGCTGGGATTACAGGCGTGAGCCACCGCACCCAGCAATCCATATTTTCAACTGCATCAAATGGAGAAAATCACAGGAAAAATAACTAAACATGTAACCATCACTATCATCCTTAGCTTGGTACATCAATATGTAAACGTCACTTTCTTAGGAAGTAATATTCTTTAGTTCAATGAATGACAGACACAGCTAAGTTATACAGGAAAGTCATATGTGAAAACGTTAACTATAAGAATATATGATCAATTGTTATTCTTTCGAAACTCATCATGTAAATAAAAAGGTAAAATTTTGATTAACTTAGTGGTTCTCTTATAAAGGTATGCTAGAAAAGAAATCCATGCTTAAGATCTCAAAAAGTATAGAATCTCATGTATTTACTCATAAGGATAATTAAAAGATATGCAGGAAACATACAAATTAGGAGCTCTTTATCATTGTTATTTGATTTTCACACAGAAAGACATTAAATGTAACAGAAAATGGTACCCAATTGTATTTAGCAATTTAAACAGTAAATTACAGAAGAATAAAATGCCTCAGATTTTACCCGTTTATCCAGTGTTCTTTCCCTTACAAAGCCAAGCAGCTGATCATTTACTAGGGCCAGGTCCCTCTTGGCAGCTGTTATTATAGTAACAATGACATCATGACGAATAGCTTCTTCTGGATCATGTGATCTAACCTTTAAATATTCTGTAATAAGAGAAAAAAACTTAGGCTAAATGTTAGCTGTGTAATTTGTCATGATTTGGAATGGCAAAAAAAGAACAGAAATACGTTAAGTTTTTGTCCATACTAAAGCAATGTTTATAAAATATGAAATGAAATTAAATCATGTTATTTTTACAGCAGCAGTACTCTACTGTAATCACAAAACTGCACTTAAAACTCCAAAGTTGGCCAGGTGTAGTGGCCCACAACTGTAATACCAGCACTTAGGGAGGCTGAGGCAGGCAGGTCACACAAGCTCAAGAGTTCATACCAGCTTATGCAACATGGCAAAACCCCATCTATATGAAAATTACCAAATAAGAAAACTCATTAGCCAGAAGTGTAGTGGCCTGGCCCTGCAGTGCCAGCTACTTGGGGGGCTAAGGAGGGAGGATCACTTGAGCCCAGTGGTCAAGGCTGCAGTGAGCCAATATCGAGCCACTGCACTCCAGCCTGCGTAACAGAGTGAGGCCCTGTTAAATAAAATAAAATAAAATACTTAATAGTTACTTCTTTTTTTTTTTTTGGAAACAGTCTTATTCTGTCACCCAGGCTGGAGTGCAATAGAGTGATCTCGGTGCACTGCAACCTCTGCTGCCCAGGTTCAAGCAATTTTCGTACCTCAGCCTCCGAGTAGCTTATCTGCCACCATGCCTGGCTAATTTTTGTATTTTTAGTAGAGATGGGGTTTCACCATGTTGGCCAGGCTGGTCTTGACCTCCTGGCCTCAAGTGATATACCTGCCTTGGCCTCCCAATGTGCAGGGGATTACACCCGTGAGCCACCACGCCTATAGTTACATTTTAATAATGCATTTTCATCAGTTATCCTGGAAAAGTCAATTCACAATGCAGTATCTGATCTATGTCAGTTTGAATTTCAGTTACAAATTAAAAGGCTTAAAAGAAAAACAGTGAAAATGCTTATGGCAATTTAACTGATAGGTATATACCTGCAAATTACACAATATAAAATCCAGACTATTTTATAATCTCTTTAAAAATTCTTAAATAATTTATAATACAAACTAAATCTAAACAAAAAAATGTTGTTTCCCCTGTGCTTTTTGGTAAATAACAGCCTGTTGATAAAACCACTTATGTGCTGCTACCAAACAGGTAGATTTAAATGCTCTAGATTCAAAAGAATGAAAAATTCTAGTCTAGTGCAGAAGATAATCGTGTTCCCACTTATTATTAAATGCCACTATATTTAATTAAATAGACTTAATGATTTCTACCCAAATCCAATGTCTTAAGAAATACGCTACTTCCTTAAATTATGATTTTCAAAAAATCTCAAAGGATTAAAATATGAAGATTTTAAGCTGGGCATTGTAGCACCTGCCTGTAATACTCGGGATGCCAAAGTGAGAGGTCACTTGAGCCCAGGACTGAAAGCCTTTCTTTTAAACAAACAAATAAATAAAAAGATTTTAAGTGTAATTTTATTACATGAACATGAAATCATTTCCTAGTGTACAACAAATGAAAACCCGAGACCATACTAGAGTAAAAATCTAGCTGGAAAGTGAAGTTAGGTCACAAGCTGTATCTACAAAACAGTTTTATGATTATGCTAATATCTCTAATAAACCAGCTAACTTACCTGTGAGATCCTTCGCTAAATCTGGGTGATTCATTAAACAATGACTGGCAAATTTCACACTTTCTAATCTCACAGGAACATGAATGTCATTAAATCTACATAGAAAAAGATTGCTAAACATTAATTGTAAGGCAAAAAAATTATTCTCAAATCAGGTATATCTAACATGAAAATGCTTATACACAACAATAGTTACTGATTAGATAATTTGTTATGGGCTAAGGTATTCTGGAGGAAGAATATAAAGTACACTACAAGGTGAAACGACACAATTTCACAAAAACATTTTCACAAACAGAATTTCTTTACCATGCTAAAACTAACAAAAAACAGTATAAACAAACACATCCCTCAAACCAAACTATACACTTTATGGAGTTATAATTTGAGAGCTTAATATTATGCTACAAAGTAAAAATATTCAAAACACACAAAATCTTCTTGAAGAATAAGTTTATAGGAGATTCCAGGCACGGTGGCTGACACCTGTAATCACAGCACTTTGGGAGGCAGAGACAGGTAGATTGCTCGTGCCCACGAGTTTAAGACCAGCCTCGCAAACATGGCAAAACCCTGTCTCTATAAATATACAAAAATTAGGCAGGCATGGTGGCATGCCCCTGTAGTCCCAGCTACTACTCAGAAAGCTGAGGTGGGTGGACTGCTTGCACTCACGAGTTCAAGATCAGCCTTGAAAACATAGCAAAGCCCTGTCTCTACAAAAAAACACAAAAATTAGCTGGGCGTGGAGGCACTCCCCTGTAGTCTCAGCTACTCGGGAGGGTGAGGTAGAAGGACTGCTTGAGCCTGGGAGGTCGAGGCTGCAGTGAGCCATAATTGTGCCACTGCACTCCAACCTGGGTAACAGACCCTGTCTCAAAACAAAACAAGACAAAAGGTTTATATGAGACAAACACTGGGGAACCTGAGGTAGAGAGCAAACCATATATAAGGGGCAGATCTGGAAGTTCAAAGATGAGTGCAGAAAATGTGTTACTAGCCCAGGCGTGGTGGCGGGTGCCTGTAATCCCAGCTACTCAGGAGGCCAAGGCAGGAGAATTGCTTGAACCCGGGAGGCAGAGGTTGCGGTGAACAGAGATCACGTCACTGCACTCCAGCCTGGGCGACAAAGGGAGACTCCGTCTCAAAAAAAAAAAAAATGTGTGTTGCACTGCCTGACGTCAGTTTCTTTTGGCCAGCACCACCTTGTATTACAATGCTCTTTTAAAGGTCTAGTATGTGTACGAATTCAATTAACACGCAACACAATATGTAGACTCAAAAATGCACATGTTAAGGATAAGGTAAGGAACTCTCAAATTTAAAATAGATTATTAGGCAACTTTTAAAATATGCTGATTAATGATAAATAATGTGATCTGAAATAGGTGGAAATATTTTTATTTTTGAAATGATCTCATGAAATAACCAAGTAAAAGAAAGTTGTTTAATAAATGTCTTAATGTCTATGGCCTCCTACTTTCTTACCCAGATATAATTTTCATGTCTTAATAAAATCTTGCATTTAGGATTTATAATTCTCTAGCTGGCAGAGAAAAATTATACATTATTAATGACCAAGTAATTACAAAGTATCAAAACACTTAATTATGGAAAATATGTAAGTTATAATTATGGAAAATAATACTGCAGACTATGAATTGTTTCTATGGATCAGAGACACCACTACAGTTAGCAGTGAGTGTAAAATAATCAGTGTCAGAAACCTACTATGGGTGATTTCATTTTCATAAGAAACCCAAGTAAAACTGAAGCCTTGCATTTTTGCTTAAATTATTTACAAAAAATATTTGATGTCCATCCTGGGATAGGGAATTCCTTCCCCCACAACTTTGAAAGTGCAGTTGCTTCATTCCCACCATTCAAAATTCTCATGGAGTCACATTTAGCTATTCAAATATTTAGCATTTACTCCTATAAGGCCTTCAAAATGGCATGTTCTGGGCAAGTAACTGCTAAGATAGCATTATGGCCTTGTCAGAGATTTCTCAGAACCTAGGATTAGTATGAGAACTATTGTGGTGAATTTACATCAAGAAAAATTCTGGCACCAACTTCTGAATCAGTTGAACTAAATAATGGGGAATCTCAAACATCTCCAGAATATTAATAGTAAATATCTACTTTCCAATCAGCTTTAAAAGCAAAACAGGTAAATGGAACGCAAGGAGGAATGTAATGAATTTCATAAATTTGTCAACACTACTACCAAGCCAAATAGAATTCAGTCATTCTAAGCTCTTGAGAAGAAACATTAAAAACTATCTGAGTTAAGGGCAATAATATTTTCCATTTAAAAATTATACAATTATACCAAATTAGTTAAAAAACAGCATACAGTGTGTTCAGATAAGTTACAGACCCAAAAGGCAAGCACTAGTAAATGAAAAAGTTGGTAGGCTGACAAATGGCACAGGTTCTTAAATTTGGATCAGTATGTATTCAGCTTCATGATTTAAAAATCTTAAGACTTAGACTATACTGCGATGCTGTCTATGTATTCTAATTTTCTTTTTTTTTTGGGAGATGGAGTCTCACTCTGTCACTCAGGCTGGAATGCAGTGGCTCGATCTCAACTCACTGCAACCTCCGCCTCCCGGGTTCAAGGATTCTCCCACCTCAGCCTCTTGACTAGTTGTGGTTACAGGCGCCGGTCACCACCCCCAGTTAATTTTTGTATTTTTAGTAGAGACACCAAGTTGGTCAGGCTGGTTTCCTGAACTCCTGACTTCAAGTGATTTGCCCACCTCAGCCTCCCAAAATGCTGGGATTATAGGTATGAGCCACCAGGCCTGGCCACGACATTATTTTAACAAGAAGTTAAAAAGTGTTACACAGATAAAATACTAAGCTTTCTCCATAAAAAATTTTTCCTACAATTTATTCCATAAGAAGGATGGCAACACAGATGACAATGAAACCAACATCTATCAAAGAAAGTTCTGATATGTATAGTTTTAATCAGGTGGATTGCACCCTACTGACTATTTTCCAAAATATAAACATCAGAATTATATGTTCTCTTACCGTCCAAGAAAACATTGCCAAAGAGGACGATTCTGTGTTGCCAAATCGGAATCTTTGGAGCCAAACAATTTAGCTAGAAGTCGAACAACAGCTAATCGCTCTTCTCCATCATTGCTCTAAGAAGGGAAAACAGAAAGTGAAGCTTGAGCTTTATTCATCAGATTACAGAAAATATCTTGAAACATTCTCAAGAAGATACAATTTCATATTTCTGCTTATAACTGTGAGAAGTTTAAAATATCATATGTCCTCATTTACTATGCAGAAACTGATTTGATTTCATGTTAGATCATCTGGGTTTTTGCTCTTATTTCACACCTTCTCAACTGCTAATTTATGTCTACTTCACTGATTAATTGCATTCTATACACTGGTTATGGACATTGTAAATACAGACATATAATTCACTTCTAACATTACGAACCCTATAAAAACGTCTATGAAGGACAAAGCTACAGTTACCACCCTAATAAGCTTACTTTATAGGAAATCTGCAATTTACATTCCAACATAAATACACATCAATTCAAGTTTTGATATACAAAGTTTTTTTTTTTTTGAGGAGTCTTGCTCTGTCTCCCAAGCTAGAGTACAGTGGTACGATCTCAGCTCACTGCAACCTCTGCCTCCCAGATACAAGAGATTCTCCTGCCTCAGCCTCTTGAATAGCTGGGATTACAGGCGTCCACCACTGCGCCCGGCTAATTTTCACATTTTTAGTAGAGATGGGATTTCACCATCTTGGCCAGGCTGGTCTCGAACTCCTGAACTTGTGACCCACCCGCCTCAGCCTCCCAAAGTGCTGGGATTATGGGAATGAACCACCGCGCCTGGCCGATATACAGAGTTTTAATGAAGAATCCCCTACTGACTGGTGAATATGATACTACAGAATTTCATGATTCGTGGAAACTCATTTTAATAGCAGCCCAAGAATCAAAAAGACAATCTGAAGGTCAACTTAAATACTATAAAAAAGCAAAACTTCATTGTTTTCTAGTAAGAGTCTCTTATTTTCTTATCCTGAAACAGTATATGCGATAAAAATTCTGTTTCAATTTCAGTGGTGATGCCACGCTTTAATGTAAAATAAGTTATTCTGAAACCATATGTTGTGTGAAACTTTTCAAAAATCATATTCGCTAGGAAAATAAACACAACATCTAAAAGCAACTGCTAATTTTTTTTTTTAGGTGTTCACATACAATATGTGGCTAAAGCAATACCAGATATCCAATAAACAAAATATTTTTGGCAAAAGAGAAGTAAAAATAGAAAAATAAAGACCACAGGATAAAATATTTTCCTTATGAATGCTTTAACGCTCAAGAACAGGGGTTTTGTGGGTAAAACAGGCACACTTAACCAATGTAAAAATGAAAATTACATCAAGTATTAACTATTTTAATTATAAATGACAAAAATGATTTTTTTAAAAAAAGAGGTAGAGTCTTGTTCTGTTGCCCAGGCTAGAGTACACTGGCATGATCATGGCTCACTGCAGCCTTGAACTCCTGGGCTCAAGTGATCCTCCCACCTTGGCCTCCTGAGTAGCTGGACATACAGATGTGCATCACCACACCTGGCTAATTTTTAATTTTTCTATAGAGACAGAATCTTACCAAGTTGACAAGGTTGGTCTTGAACTCCTGGCCTCAGGCAAGCCTCCCATCTCAGCCTCCCATAATGCTGGGATTATATGGACATGAGGTACCACACCTGGCCTGATTTTCTTTCTCTTTTTTTTTGTGAGACAAGGTCTGGGTCTGGCTCTATCACCCAGGCTGGAGTACAGTGGAGCAACCTCAGTCCACTATAACCTCCACCTTCCAGGCTCAAGCCATCCTCCCACCTCAGCCTCCTGAGTAGCTGGGACTATGGGTGTGTGCCATTATCCTTGGCTAATTTCTGTATTTTTTGTAGAGATGGGTGTCACCATGTTGCTCAAGCTGGTCTCAGACTCCTGGGCTCAAGAGATCTGCCTGCCTCCACCTCCCAAAGTGCTGGGATTACACAGGTATGAGCTACGGCACTTGGCCCAGCCTGATTTTCTTTGACAAAATTTTTCTCAAGCAAGGTGACAATAATGCAGAGTAGCACAACCTTCTAATAAGTTCAATTTACTAGCCAATATGATTTATTTCTTAAAGAAAAAGTAATCTGTCCCTTAAATATGAAATAATATATGGAAATTTTATTCTAATAGCAAGTAACTATTTTAGTAGATCGGTGATTATTTCAAACGAGGTGACATTTAACATCTATTAACCACAGAAGTAAAACTAACTGAAAACTTGCCCCTCTGCTATTTGTAAAAGTCAAAATACATTCCTTGACCAGACTCAGTGGCTCATGCCTTCTCAGTAATCTGAGGCCAAGACAGGAGAATTGCATTAGGCCAGGAGTTTGAGACCAGCTGGGCAACATATTGAGAACCCCTCTCAACCAAAAAAAAAAAATATATATATATATATAACCAGGAATAGTGAGGTATACCTATAGTCCCAGCTCCTCAAGAGACTGAGACAAGAGGATCACTTGAGCCCAAGACTTCAAGGCAGTATTAAACTTTTACAAATATCAAAGGAGCAAGAATTACAAATTACTTGCTCAGTTGTCTATAAAAAATAGATATACTATTTTTAGGACAGTCAAATTTCTGTCCTTAATCTGTACCATGAAAAGGTCATAAAATTGTAAGCAATACCATATTAGGATTCCATTTAAAATCTTTGGATGTTCTAAAACATATCTACCTAATAATGGATACCATTTAATACCAACATGTACTATAAATTTCTAAGATAGGCCGGGAGCGGTGGCTCAAGCCTGTAATCCCAGCACTTTGGGAGGCCGAGGCGAACGGATCACGAAGTCAGGAGATCGAGACCATCCTGGCTAACATGGTGAAACCCCGTCTCTATTAAAAATACAAAAAAAAAGAAATTAGCTGGGCGCGGTGGCGGGCACCTGTAGTCCCAGCTGCTCTGGAGACTGAGGCGGGAGAATGGCGTGAACCTGGGAAGCGGAGCTTGCAGTGAGCCGAGATCACGCCGCTGTACTACAGCCTGGGCAACAGAGCGAGACTCCATCTCAAAAAAAAAAAAAAAAATTCTAAGATAATACCATTTTTCCTATCTATTGCTTGTGTCACTGTGATTATCAGGAGATATTTAACAATTAGAAGTATTATAATTCTGTGGCCCGGCATGGTGACTCATGCCTGTAATCCCAGCACTTTGGGCAGCCAAGGTGGGCAGATTAACAAGGTCAAGAGATTGAGACCAGCCTGGCCAACATGACAAATCCCCGTCTCTACTAAAAATATAAAAATTATATGGGTATGGTGGTGTGCGCCTATAGTCCCAGCTACTCGGGAGGCTGAGGCAGAAGAATCGCTTGAATCCAGGAGGCGAAGGTTGCAGTGGGCCGAGATTGCGCCACTGCACTTCAGCCTGAGCAACAACAGCAAAACTCCGTCCAAAAAAAACAAAGAAAAAGATAAACTGAAGTCATACTTTATTCTTCTGCAGTTACCGAAAAATTATGCGGTATACATTTTTCCTGGAAAGTTTAAAGGGCAAGAAAATTGGTCAATTTTACATTGTACTTGCTCTAGAAGTAAGAAAAACATGAAAAACAAAATAGAAAAGAAAATTGGTCAATCTTACCTTTAGTTTGAATTCAAGCTGTGGCATGACGGATAATAATAAATGAGGATCTATAGCAAAAAGTTCCTGAATCAGATCAAATACATGTTCTGACAAATCACTTACTGATGATCTTCCCAGCACTAGGACTTGATTGAAAAACTGTAAGAGATATTAAAAACAAAAATAAAACATCCAGTTCACTTAAAAACATGGATACATTTTTATAAACATTTTTATAAACTATATAATTAGGTTTTACACATACAATTGAAGGAGGTGATACAAATACATGTGTGATTACTAATATACAACAGGACAATCATCTAAACAGCGGAAGAAATAATTTCCTAATAATATCAAATCATGAATGTTACAAGGAGAAAAGCAAAAACCAAAATTGGTTTGTTGGGTATATTTCAAATAAGGACTTTTCTAGGAATCTTTGTTTTCATTAAAACAATTTAGACCGTTTGTGTAGTTCATTACAAAGGATTTTAGAAAAATTTCCTTGTAGCAGAGAAATATTACAAAGTCTCAATCTTTGATTTTTTTTTTTCTTTTTTTGAGATGGAGTCTGGCTGTGTTGCTCAGGCTGGAACACAGTGGCGTGATCTCGGCTCACTGCAACTTCCACCTCTGAGATTCAAGCAATTTTCCTGCTTCAGCCCCAGGAACCCGCCACCACAGCCAGCTAATTTTTGTATTTTTAGTAGAGACAAGGATTCCTCATGTTGGCCAGGCTGGTCTCAAACTCCATACCTCAGGTGATCCACAAGCCTTGGCCTCCCAAAGTACTGGGATTACAGGTGTGAGCCACTGCACCTGGCCTCAACCTTTGATTTTTTAAAAAAATCAAAGGTATAGCAGCACACGCCTATAATCCCAGTACTTTGGGGAAGCCAAGGCATGCCAATCTTGAGCCCAGGAGTTGGAGACCAGCCTGGGCAACACAGTGAGACCCTTGACTCTACAAAAATTAAAAAATTATCTGGGCATGGTGGTGCATGCCTATAGCCCCAGCTACTCAGGAGGCCATGGCAGGTGGGATCATTTAAGCCCTAAGAAGTCGAGGTTGCAGTGAGTTGTGATCACATCACTGTACTCCTCCTGCATGGGGGACAGAACGAGACCCTGTTTCAAAAGAAAAAAAAAATCAGAATAATGTTTCCATGAGTTTAGTAATAAAGAGTATTTAAAGGGGAAGGATTTTTTGTTGTTGTTGGGTTGGTTCTTTTAATACTCAGAGAAAGTCAAATATGTTTCGGCTCGCATGACAAAAAGAACAAAAAGTTGGTAATACAAAAGCTAACTGATTTTTTTTTTTAAATGCTAGATGGAAATAAAGAGTATACAAGGCCAAGAGCACAGATTAAAAGATACCAGCATTGCACACCATGACCGCCACAAATGCAGAATAATTCAATTTTTAAAATGTCTCAGGGGGCAATTGTACGCAACTGAAACAAGCATACATTTCTGTAGTAACATAATTTGAAAAGCAGTATAAATTAAGAGTTAGAAAATGCTCATTATTGGCCAGGCACAGTGGCTCACACCTGTAATCACAGTACTTTGGGAGGCCGAGGCAGGCAGATTACCTGAGGTCAGGAGTTCAAGACCAGCCTGGCCAACATGGTGAAACCCCATCTCTACTAAAAATATAAAAATTAGCAGGGTGTGGTGGCACACGCCTGCAGTCCAGCCACTCAGAAGGCTGAAGCAGGAGAATCACTTGAGCCTGGGAGGCAGAGGTTGCAGTGAGCTGAAACTGCACCACTGCACTCCAGCCTGGTCAACAAGGTGAGACTCCATCTCCAAAAAAAAAAAGAAAAAAAATCATTCCCATTGCATAAGAATAATACCAAAAAATTCATATTTACTATGCAGACGTTGAAAATAATGAAGAAGACAGTTTTATCAAAATATATGCATACACACACACAAAAAAGCATAGAATACTACTTCTGAAAGGATATAAGAAAACCTATTGGGGATGGTTATTTCTGAGAATTGAGAAATGTATTCAAGGCTGAAGACAGACACTTCTTTAGTACCATTATTGTTTAATCTGTTTAAATATTAATTTAGCAATCCAAGCAATACTAATAGGATAACATTTAAATTAAAAGCCTCTTTGTATTTTTATCCATGGAAAATAATTCAACAACACATAAATGTTAAGATTCACAAAGATGATTAGGAAAGGAAAGAAACACTGAAAAGACCTAAATCTATGACAATAAGGAAATATATATCAAGAAACATTTACAGTCATTCTTATATATTTAAAAAGAATGTCAAAATATGTAAATACAAGTAAGACAATAAAAATTTTACATAAAGTAGCCGGGTGCAGTGGCTCACACCTGTAATCTCAGCACTTTGGGAGGCTCAGGAGGGTAGATCACAGGGTCATGAGATCGAGACCACCCTGGCTAACACGGTGAAACCTTGTCTCTACTAAAAATACAAAAAATTAGCCGAGCATGGTGGCGAGAGCCTGTAGTCCCAGCTACTCGGGAGGCTGAGGCAGGAGAATGGCGTAAACTCGGGAGGTGGAGCTTGCAATGAGCCAAGATTGCACAACTGTACTCCGGCCTCGGGGACAGAGAAAGACTCCGTCTCAAAAAAAAAAAAATTTTTTTTTCATAAAGTATGTGGGAAAATAGTTATAAATATGAGCAAATGTACAATGGAATTAGTTGTTATAAGGTAGTGAAATTGCAAACTTTTTTTTCCTAATTATTAACTTTTTTAGTAAGGCATGGTGGTGCATGCCTATAGCCCCAGCTACTCAGGAGGCCATGGCAGGTGGGATCATTTAAGCCCTAAGAAGTCGAGGTTGCAGTGAGTTTTATTCTTCTGCAGTTACCGAAAAATTATGCGGTATACATTTTTCCTGGAAAGTTTAAAGGGCAAGAAAATTGGTCAATTTTACATTGTACTTG